AAAAATAAGAACCAAGATACATCATGTACAGGTACAAGCACCCAATGATAAATGTAAATGTATTGTATACCTAAAATGTACCAATAAAAAAATTTTTTTTTAAAAAAAAGAAAGAAATCAATAATAAATGCTGGCAGAGTTTTGGGGAAAAAGGAAGCCTTCTTCACTGTTTGTGGGAGTGCAGACTGGTGCAAGTGCTGTGGAAATCAGTTTGATGATTCCTCAAAAAATTCAGATTAGAGGCCCCATTTGACCCAGCTATTCCCCTGCTGGGGATCTTCCCAAAAGAATTAAAAACATTATATATAGCACAGTGATATACGCACATCCATGTTTATAGCAGCACAGTTTGTAATAGCTAAATCTTGGAAACAACCCAAATGCCCGTCAACTGGTGACTGGATAAAGAAGATGTGAGGTTTTTTAAAAAAATAAAATGGAGTACTACTTAGCCATAAAGAATGATAAACTAGAGACATGCATAGCTAAATGGATGGACCTTGAGGCGATACTCTTAAGTGAAATAAATAGGACACATATGTGTAAATATCAAATAGTTTCTCTGGTGTGAGAAGCTGAAAGTATAAATGAGGCCCAAAATGTATAATAGATAATGTGAAATAGGAAGAAGGTCCAAAGGGGGAGGGTAAATGGAGGGGAAGACAGGGGAAAGGAAAGAAGGGAAAGGAAAAAATATGAGAAAAGGAAAAAACAGAAACAAAGTCTTTGTAAATGGGGAGGGGTGGAGAGGTTGAAGAGAGGGCAGGGGAATTGGGAAAAATAAGAACCAAGATACATCATGTAAAAGTAAAAATTCCCAATGGTGAATGTCACCATATTGTATACCTAAAATGTACCAATAAATTTAATCAATTAAAAAAAGAAATGTGCTAGAAAACAGGAAAGAGGTTTTCCCGTTTTTATCTCCACAAATGTTAGACACTTTATAAAGTCACAAAAATCATTGCAGGATTGGAATTGGAATTGGAAAGGGCTTAAGAAAGCAAGTAGTACAAGTACACTCACCATATACTCAAGAAAACTGAGATCCATGTGATTTGTCCCAAGCCACCTTATCATCTTGGAAATGAGTTCATTGGTTTTATCATTGTTCCATACTAAAGATTCTCTTTTAAAGAACTGACAGTGGAATATTTACAAATTTTTGGCTGTGGAGCTTGAGGGTACAGATTTAAACCTTGAGTTAACAGACCATCCGGGTTTAGTTAAGAGATATTTTTAAGTAAACTCATTTAAATACTTCTGACCTAGAAAAGCTTTTTTGGCAGCCTTGGATCAATGGCAAATAAACTTTTACATAGTTGGAAAGAACAAATACTGAATGTAAATTCCATCTTTCAAGATCTCAGTAAACATTTTCTTTCTCTTTCTACTTAGCGTGCTCTATTTTGAAAGAGACATATCCGCTCCAACTTGACTTATCACGGGCCCAATCAGTTGTAGGGTTCATGGTATAAGACCCTTAAATACAAGGGTGCACAACCGCCAGTGTTGTTGGTCACAGTTTACCCTGCGGTTGTGTGCATTACTACTGTGTGTTTTAGGTCACGAAGGGTGTGATATAAAAATACATGGCGTGTCTGCCTCGCAAGCGCAAGGTCCCGAGTTCAATCCCCCGTAACAAAACAAAACGAAAAAACATGGCTGCATAATTTAGGTCTTTCTGGCGTTTGCCAAACGTACCCACCCCCTGGTAACTTCAGGGGCCCATTCTGTACTTTACTCACTTCCTGGACTCTGCTTTCCTAAACAAGCCTAACTCGTCTTACCAGGACAGGCAACCCAGACGGTGCCGGCACTGTCAATAGTTATTATATCGGAGCCTGTTCCTCTGGGGTTCGGACAGAGCACCACAGGTTTCCGAGGTGCACCAAGGGGAGCGCAGGGCTAGCTGGCCCCTGCTTGTCGCTGAATACCGCTGGCAAGCTTTACAGTTTTAAACAGGTAGGGCCCCGGAACTCGGCCTTTCTTCCCATCTTTTGATGGGTCTTGTCCTCGCTTCCTGCATCATCTCCGTGAAGAACGTCCCTACGCTACAGACACAACTAGACAATTCGGAGCAGAGGCAGGTTCGGGGGATGAGGCTGAGGTGGCGGACATCACGCCGGAGCGGACCGGAGAGCTCGGGAGGCGGTGGGAGGTGCAGACCGCCTAGGCCGCAGCCAGCTTCCAGGGGCCGGAAGTGCCCCGCGTCGCTATGGCGACAGGCGCCTGCACTCCCGCCCTCCGGCATTCGGTTCCCGTGGCAACTCCATAGTATTCCGGGCCACAGGCGCCAAAAGCAGACCTCTTACCTATTTCCGCTGTGGCACCGGGAATGAGGTCGGTGGACGCCGCCGGGACGCTACGTCGCCCGCGGTGGCGGACCAGCTGGGCAGTGGAGCCTCGAAGCCCAGTTCCGGGGCGTGCACGGCTTCGCAGCAGACCGCCAGGTGCGCGGCGCCGCCCCACACTCTCTTGCCGGCCTGCCGGGGCCTCGGACTCGGGAATCGCTGAGCAGAGCTCACATGTGACGTTTGGGTTTATGAGGTTACCCGAAGCAGCTTTACAAAAGGAGGAAGCGCTTGGTATTTGAGGCGCCAAAGTCTAGTGGCCTAATTCAGAGCCATATGGACCCTCCTAAGGACAGGGTGCAGGAGTTTGAGAGATCAAACAGAACCTGTTGCCCTGGCCGTAGTTTTGAAAGTAGGGATTAAAATGTAATGAATCTTCCTTTCTGATTTTCCGATAGTGGTGTTCAGGGTCAAAGCTGCTCAGGGACCCCATGGGAATGAGTGACATTCTGTAGGATGAAATGAGGAACGCCTTGGTGGGTGTTAATGTTCAGTAAGTCACTTGCAGTCGATTTGGGTTCGATGTAAGCCTTAGAGACGGCCTTGAGAAACGAATTTCACGAAACATTTTCCATCATGTGTTTAAGCCTAGAGGCAACGAGAATAAACACAGGAGTCTTAGCTTCTTCAGGAGAACTTTCTATTAAATAGTGAAATGACCCCAAGGAGAAGGTGGAGAGTTAACCAGTACACACACTGGCTGTCCTTCATTTAGAACCGAGAGATGGTTGCTCTATTTGGATCTTCTTTCCCTCAGGTCTCCCAAACATGTTTGAGTTGTGAGTAGGTGAACATAGTTTGGCTGATCCAGATGTAAAGGCACAGCTTTTAAAAGGTTAAAAACAAGTCCAGGGATTTAGCTCAGTGGTGCTGTCCCTGCCTGGCAAGTGCAAGGTCCTGAGTTTGATCCCCGGTACCGAGAAAAACAACAACAACAAAGTCCAGACATTTAGGAGAAGTAAATTGGAGTTGAAATAAGGGGAGAAAATTTAACTCCTTTCGTTTGTCAAATGCCTTTAATTTCTGCTTTAGGGTCTCCGTATATGAATTTGCATAGTCTATTTGTGGATTGTATTTGGTAGTTTCAGTTTAATGTTACTGGCATTCAATAGAGGGAACATAGATCAAACTCCAACCTAAGACTTTTCTCCCAAAGCTGACCTCCTATGTAATTCTTAGTAGGAAAAAGATGCAAGCCAACCCTATCCGCATCCCAGCAGTTATCAGTGACAACGACTGGGACTTCTGCTTCAACCTGTAAGTACTTGAGAACCTTGACATACTATTCCGTGTCCCGGAACACTGGGTCCTCTCACTTAAGGCGAGCCTGGGTGAGAAGCTTAGCATGCACATTACACAGAAAAAAGTTCCACTTCTGCAGTATGATTTAATAATAGTTATAGTGTTACATTCACTTGAATCTATAACTTACACACGATGGAAGATAATTGGTTTTTCTCTAAGAAAAAATTTAAATTTTAAAAAATAAAGACAAGAAACTAGGTGTGATGACATATCCCTATAATGCCATCACTCTGGGAAGCTGAGGCAGGAAGATTGAATGTCCTAGCCCAGCATGGGCAATTTAGCAAGACTCTGTCTCCAAAAAAAAAGATAAGGGATGTAGCTCATGCAAAGATCATGAGTTCAATCCCCAATACCACAAAAAATAAAGACAGATTATTTATAGCAAACAAGACTAGTAATGTCATAGAGAAAAGAATAACAAAACTGAGTAGTTTTGTGAAATAAAGAGAAATTGAGTAAATAAAAATTTTCACATCATAATGCCTGATACTTATTTGAGCACATATTATGTGCCTGTCCCCTAGCAATCCTGTGAAGAAGCTACTGATGTTAAACATTTTATAGATGAGGAATGTAAATAAGGGCAAGATTAGGCAGTTTGCCCAAAGTCATATAGCTAGTTGGTAGTATTGAAAACTAGTCTAACTCTGGAGTCTGTTCTTTCTTTAACCATTCCTCTATACCAGAGTTTCTCAGCTTCTGTACTCTTGACATATTGGGTGGAATAACTTTTGGAGGCCCATTCGAAGCATTGTAGGACATTTAGCAGCATCCCTGGTGTCTACCCACTAAATGCTAATATCACTGCCCCAGTCATGACAACCAAAAATGTCTCCAGACATTGTCAGATGGCCCCAGGGAGTAAAGTCATTCTTAGATGAGAAACATTACTCTCTTTCTCATCAGATAGAAATATATAATGTGGGCCACATATATGAGCCCCATATTAAAAAGTAAAATGAAACAGGTGAATAATTTTAATGGTGTGTTTACCTTATATGTCCAGAATATTATTATATAAAATGATTAATGAAATATTTTATATTGTTTTCTTCATGGTAAGTCTTCAAAATTCCACATTTTACACTTAACAACAAATCTCAGTCTGACTCACCACATTGTTTTGTGCTTAATAGTCACAAGTGGCTACTGATTATTGGATAGCATAATTGTACCTCACCTTACAAAATATCATGAGCTTACATGTTATATATAAAATGTGGAGTTGGCGTGAGGATGTAGCTCAGAATATAGGGCACTTGCTTAGGATGTACAGGTCTCTGGGGTCAATCCCCATGACTAGAAAAAATGAAAAATAGAGTTCACAGTAGAAGAAATGTTGCTCTCCTGCCCATATGACCTGAAATGCCTTTGTGTCTGGATTAGTTATTTGCCGTGGGCCTCTGGATGGATGTTAGCATGTCCTTTTTAAAACTTGGCATAAAATATCACAGTCAACATTTGTTTTCGTGTTATACTTTTCTAAATTTCCTCCTTAAAATAAAAAATAATAAACACTCAGTACATTTATCTTTATTATTTCAAGTTTAATTTAGAAAATATGTCCCTAATCCACAGTGGAGAGAGCTATAGCCTTCAATTTTATCTTGTTTGGACATCCTGACTCCATGTGCCTCTGATGTCCACAGCAAACCAGGACTCCAGAATACCAGCAAACAGGTGAACTATATCCCACTTGTGGGCCTGGAGAGAGTGAAGAAGACATTACAGTTCAGAAAGAGAAGATGGCTATTGTCTGTATGTCTTTTCCTGAAGAGAAATTAGCTCAGTCACAGAAGAAAGTAGCTCAACTGATTAAGAAAAAAATGGCAAACAAAAAAATTTACTAGGTTTTTGTACCATTTAAAAATATGCCCATGATTAGAGAAGTTCTACCTTCACTTCAGAGTGAAGCATGTAGAAGAAAATGCTATATTTGTTGGTTAAGTGAAAGAAAACAAGAAGCCAGCCACCTTCTGTTTCCATATAGGGTTCACTATCCATTTGTCCTTGGAGGGTTTGTGCTTCTAGTGTTACACTAAAATTTGATATTTGCTTGGTCCTATTGCCATTTGAAATGGCCAGTCAGGTAAAAGATGAGGATAGGGCGCTCCCGCTTCCATCCCGGACCGCGCCGAGACTGCGCAGAGGCTCCCCTGCCGCCATCCCAAGCTCCTAGGGCAGAGAAGCTGAGCCGGTCCCAGCACTCAGAAGGAAGCTCCTTCACCGCCATCCCAAGCTCCTAGGGCAGAGAAGGTGAACTGGTCCCAGCACCCGGAAGGAAGCTCCCCCGCCACCATCCCAAGCTCCTAGGGCAGAGAAGGTGAGCTGGTCCCAGAACCCAGAAGGAAGCTCCTCCACTGCCATCCCAAGCTCCTAGGGCAGAGAAGG